GAAGTTAGTCTCGCGCGATCCAGTTCATGTTTATTTCTGGGATTGGTCTTTTCCTTTGGCCTTATATAACGAGAGTGCAATGCTGTAATACAGTGTCAACATCTATTAAAGTAAAGCCACACCATTATTTCAATAACTCGCTGATGAAAAACAAGTTCTCTCTCTCACCCGTAAGCGCACAACAAGCGTACTTTGACGTAATTACTCATAGAATGAATATTATGTAAAAATTGTTTTGTTTATGGTAGTTTAATTTGACTCCCTAAAAGCACTACATGACGTTTAATATTTGAGAATATCATTGTTTCGCGAGTTTTTACAAACTTTATTTGGTGAAAAATTTGGGTCGCTTAAAAAAAAAGGGATTTGACGATCTAACGGACAGAGTTAGAATTACAAAGAGTAAGACTTTCAAATACTATTTCTGCAATTTCTCTATGCTTACCGCCTTATATAACGAGATAGCAATGCTCTGATACAGTGTTTCCCAACCTATGGGTCGCGATCCAAAACTGGGTCGTATGAAAATCTTCCTGCGTCGCTCGATTTTTCGGCGCTCCAGAAGTGTATGTACCAATATGGAGGTAACTAATTTTGTTTGCCTATTTTACATTAAGTGGTGTAAAGGGACTGAAATCTATGGGTAGGGGGTATATTCACTTGGCTAACACAGAAAGTCCCCGAACTCGTAATAGAACTAAAATAAGGAAAATCGGAATAAAATTATGGCCTAACCTCAACCTGGTACACATATTACAGGAGTACTAATTTTTCGGTGCTCCCGAAGTATGTGTACCAAGATGGCGCACAACCAGAACACAGTATGTGTACCCGTGTGTACCCGGTTAAGATTATCAGGTTGTGCGCCATCTTGATACTTATATTTCTAGAGCGCCGAATTTTCAACATGAACTTAAAGTTACTGATTTTATTTTCTAGTATTGCATATTTCATATTTGGTATTGCGTATATGTCGGAAGTAATACAGCATAAATACCTGGCAGCTTCTATTTTGCAAGTTTTTAGAGATTTTAAAAACTCGCTGACGTCAAACAATCGAAGCTATCGCACTTTAGGTAATTTATGGGGAAACATGTTATCTGAAAATAATTATTGTTAAAGGTGTCCATGAAGTCTTGAATTTTTTTAAATTGCAAAGGGAATTTATCGATGCCATATATTGTTTTGGCCCTCACAAATGAGTTGCATGAAGTAAGAATACTTAAACAATTACTGATTAAAAAACAACAAACCTGGTAATATATATTGAGAACGGACTTCATAACAAAATTGAAATTTTAAGGGACTTTAAGGACACCCGTATATTATTAGTTTAATTTCGCGGTCATAAAAGCACTACATGCCGTTTGGGACGCGAGATTTTACGAATTTTTTATTTTTTTTTATTTTGGTTGCTTGAAAAAAAGGTCGAGAACCACTGCCTTACTATAGGGACACAAAGTCCAAATAATGGTCATCACAATGTCGATTTCACAACCATAGTTTGAAAAGAATTTAGTGAATGGTAGATGAATTTATAGAAGTGAATTTAGGAAAAAAAGCAAAACTTGAACTCCCAAAGAAATTTGATGCAAATAAAAATAATGGCTTTCTTCTTTCATCTTAGCACTATTGAGTCCTGTAAATCAGAAATATTCTGGGTATTATACGGGTGTCCATAAAGTCCATTTACAATTTCAATTCAGTTATGAAGTCAGTTCCTTAGATATCTTAACCAGGTTTGTTGTTTTTTAATCAATAATTGTTCAGTAAGTATTTTTATCTCATTTAATACATCTGTGATGGCCAAACAATATAAGATGCTCCCGAAGTATGCGAACCAAGATGGTGGACATCGGAACGTAACATGGGTAACAGGTTATGGATTAGGCGATAATTTTTTCCAATTTTCCTTATTTTAGTCCTATTATCAGTTCGAAGACTAGCCAAGAGCCTCCCGTAGTATTTATACCTAAAATTATGGCCTTATGGTTAGGGACCTAGTACACATATTACATTCTGATGTCCGCCATCTTGGTTCGCATACTTCGGGAGCCCCCATATAAAGTATCAATAAATCTCCTCTGCAATTTTAAAATATGTTATGACTTTGTGGACACTCTATCTTACATCTATTAAGTTGCGAATAAAAGCAAACTTTTTTTACTTCAACAAAAAGAAAATTGACAACCTATTACTTTACATGTTATAATATGCATATAATCAGCTATTACGTGGGTCGCCAAAATATTTTGCTCAATATTGACAAATGAATATGAAATACTTTTTTGTTTCAGATGACGTCAGTAGCAGTGACGTCATCACTGAATGGTCTGATGAGCAATACAATTATGACTGGGACTTGGGAAAATGTATGTTCGGGATTTGCGATCATTATTTAAAACTGGCAACACAGGATTTTGATGAAGTTGGATGCTCAAAGACTAGATGCAGCGGCAGATTGGAGGTGAGGATATACAGAAATATATGGGACTTCCCTTAAAGAAGTCTTCCCCGGTGCTGCCGAAGTATGTGCACCAAGATGGCGCACAACCTGAACAAAGTATGTGTACCAAGTTAGAATTATCAGGTTGTGCTTCTTGGTGCACATACTTCTGGAGCGACCAGAAATTTTATTTGCAAATGTATTTGGAAATTTTCGTCTTCCTTAAACGTCTCAAATTTTAATATTAAATATCTCAAATATTAATTGAAGGTAGGGTTTTAAACCATTCTCCTTCAGATAAATGGAGCTATCCCATGGCGATGACGCCCATTTACTGTATAATTATGTGTCATTACGAGGCTAATTTGTATGTCTATTACATAGCAGCGAATCGTATTTCTAGCGCTCTTTGGTACACATTTAAAGGAAGGTCACGCGCGCACGTAAAGGCAAAATGTTATGATTGCTAGCAACCATATAGACTTCTGTTCCATAATACAGGTCGCTAGAAAAACAGAAAAACATCTATTTAATTTTACAAAGAATAACTTACATAAAGTTTCTAAAGGCATGTGTTATATTACACTCGTAGATACTCAAAATGTCGTCCGTGCACTTCAAAGCAGTGTCTTAACTTAGAGTCCAAGCTCGTGTAGTGTTTTGAAAGTTACCTTGTGGGATATCGTTTCAATTCAACCTATACCTACGCGCATTTTATTCGTGATCTCATCTGATTTTCAAATTTTCTACTCTTCTAAGGCACAATCCTGTATATATTCGAAAATTATCCAGTTTTCTAACCGCCTTGGCAATTTTTATTTAAAGTAGCGCACGTTTCTCAATATTTCATTATATCATTATCTTTCAGATAAACGGAGATATACTACACCGTCCATATATATTCATGTGTCGTTATGGAAGTTACGTCCCTAACCCAAGCAGCAATAAACCTTCAATAACGACTTCTTTAACTAGTCAGAGACAGAGACTTTTGTCATAGTTGTATTTACCAATTTCAAGAGACTTTTTCGCAACGGATTTGGTTTTAGGACATCGATCTTGTTAAATATATTGCCCGACTTCTTTATATTCAACCTGTATCAAATTTAGACTCTTATCACAGGTGTCGCTGCTCGATAACCAACATATTTTTTTTCGCTTCACCCTTCACCGTGAAATGCCATTTCCTGTTATCTTCCTAGTATTTGTTTGCATCGAGTGTATTTCCATTTTGGCGAAGAATAAACTACTGACTGACTTGTAAACGAAAATTATCTCATTTTGAAATGCTTAGAAATTTTATATAATACCTTATTTTGTTCTTGCTAGGTGTTAATTCTAATCGCTTCTTATCTCTTTTAGATAAACGGAGATATACTACACCGTCCATATATATTCATGTGCCGTTATGGAAGTTACCTCCCTAATCAAAGCAGCAATAAACCTTCAATATCGCCATTCTCCAATAGTCGGAGACCATATATTGCTGGAATCCCTTGCAGCGAATGTAGACATGGTGACGTATGCGTTAATGGAATGTGCGATTTTCCTCGACCAGTTGACGGACTTAGTGACATAAACACTACGATGACGTCATATATTGATGACGTCACAAATGTACCACCTCGTGATGTAGCAGAAACCAGCGTAAGTGCATTATTATTTATTTGAATTTATTGTGGAAAATAGAAAAGTGCGATTTTTGTAATTATTTTATTTAAATATTATATTGCTTTTGTTTTTCAGGTTGTCACAGAAAATCTAGGAGTGTGTGATAGATATGTGTGCTTTTGTATGTGGTTTCTTCAGTGTGGCGTGGCATGTTTGGTATTGCGTGGCGTGTATTTTGTGTAAATTTATACTTGTATGTTGATAATTCCCAAAATACGAATTTGATCTATCTCTAAATTAGCAGGTGATCGAACGTCGATCCATGGATGCGGGTGATGGTCCCAATCCATCCGTCACCTCTTCCTTGGATATAAGGCCACCCTGGTTATATGGTCACCCTGGTTATACGGAGCTCCCTTCTCTAATTACTCTCAAAAGTATGTGTCGCCTGCGCTTTTTCGCTGATTTTTCATTTCATGTTCCCGAACTCACTCCACTTCATACTTGTTGTTTACCAATCTTTTCCACTTTCTTCGCCAGGTTATATAGGGGTGACGAAGATCACTTCTTTATTTGCTCGCAGTCTTTTGTATCGCCTGTGCTTTTTGTCGATTTTTTGTTCCATTTTACTCAACTTACTCAACTTATAAAATGATAAAAATAAAATAAATAAAACCGATTATGAAATCATGAGAGCAAATAAAACCCTAAGTAAGGTTTTAAACGTACAAATTTTGAATTGAAAGGTGTTGTTAGTTGAAGGAAGTTTTAAATTAATTAAAGCACACACGCAATTACTCAGTAAAAAGGCAAAATATACAAATACTTTGCTTCATACTTGTTGTTCACCAATCCTGCCCGCTTCCATTGCGTCACTCGGTCCATTACTTTAACTTAGAGACTAACATGATTCTTATTAACATCGATTCGTGATTATTTCCAGATCACCATACTTCCATGCTTGTGTGAGAATGGCGGACGCTGCATTCCAGATATTTCCAAAGAAGTTGGACTCGGGGCTTATGAGTGTCAGGTATATTCGATTTTGAGAACTTCAATATTCTTGTTCAAGATTTTGTGTTTTTTCTCAACTCCACGCACATAAAATATCTGCTTTTTTGGGCCAGCTAAATATTAATCTTCCCATCTCGGCTAAATTAAGTAAAATTTTCAAAGATCATTTCGTGTATCTAAATAGTTTAGAGCAGTGGTTCTCAAACGTTTTATGCCGCGCCCCGTTTTCAGAATTCGTCACGTCTCGCGCCCAACCTCAAAAATAAATAGCTAACAATAAGCTACAAATAACAGACAGTAAGACCAAAGGGTACTCCCGAAGTATGCGAACCAAGATGGCGGACATCGGAACGTAACATGGGTAACAGGTTAGGGTTAGGCGATAATTTTTTTCCAATTTTCCTTATTTTAGTCCTATTATCAGTTCGAAGACTAGCCAAAAGCCTACCGTAGTCTTTATATCTAAAATTATGGCCTAACCCTAACCTAGTACACATATTACACTCCGATGTCCGCCATCTTGGTTCGCATACTTCGGGAGCCCCGACCAAAGTGTGTCTTATTAAAAAAAACACGTTGGAACTACGTGAATGGGACGTAAATAATTAAATAAATGAAAAGTTTTCAAATGTAAATATCCAAAATAAGGCGGGAAAGATCGAATCTAACTAACAATCGTATTTTTAATTAATTAACGCCTCCTCAAAAAATTATCTACGCCTCCATTGTGGGCCCACCGTTTAAGAACCACTGGTTTAGAGAGAATCTTACTATTTAATCGTAAGTTATCTAATCAGTGTTTTTCGCCCGGGCATCAGTTAGTCAGCATTACTTATCAACATTTTTCCTATGACCTAGCATACTGGTGTCGCAATAATGCTATTACCTCCCATGAATTGTGTAGTAAACTTGATACACAGTGCGGAACCGGACTTAATACAGTCCAATTTAAAATAATAGATCCGTGTAGCGTGCTTCACCGGCTCGTTATATCGTGCATTTCAACCATCATGCATCTGGAACAAACAACAGGCTAATCCAGTGTTTCCCAACCCGAGTCCGCGGTCTCAAATGAGTCCGCGGAGTGTTTGAATGAGTCCGCAACGAGCCAGAAATTCACTGCGGGCCGCAAACGTTTTTGCGAAACTTAGCCGTCAACCAAGTTACGATTTACGTTAGAATTCACATAAAACATAAAAAGCAAGTTTATTCACATAACATTAATTGAGTCAATAATTACTGGATACTGAGTAGGGCTGGGCATCTATTCGAATATTCAACTATTAGAATAGCAATTGACTATTTGAAAATTTGGTAACAGGTGAAGCGACAGGTCACTTGCGCGTCGCTTAATCAAACGATTGAATTTCACAACTCACTTGGATTTCCGACGAAAACACGAGTCGGCACACGCGTGGATAATTACCTAACTGGTGTTTCTCGCGAGATCCAACAACGAGACATAATTTTATTTCTGGTAGGTGTCAATGGTGGCAACCTAAATTTTCTGAATTGAAAAGCGACAATACAAAATACTAAAAATAAAACGGAGAACACCATAAATTTTGTTTTAGGATGGTCCGCGACCGATTAAAAAAGCTTTTTTAGACATTGCAAATCGCAAAATTTCGGGTGCTACTGTAGTATACGTATCAAGACATTTCCCCTTAGGATTTTTTGCTTTACTGCCTCCACATCGGTATACGTACAGTACTGGAGCGCCGTAAATGTTGTACTAACAGCCCAGATTTGTCGAGTTCACAAAAATAGGAATCAGAACAAAATATAATCGGGCTCTTTACCACGCATTTTTGTGTCCGCGGATTATCATGATATTTTCTGAGTAGTATTGCTTTTATTTCGTCAAGACTTATCGATCGAAAGTTAGGGGATCCCCCAAAACAGAAACTGCGGTTCCGATCCATCCGCTCTTACTCCACAGCGACACCGTGTGTCCAGTCACTAATTAATTAGAAAAGGCCATTTATACACTAAAAAGGTGGGCTCTTTTAACCAACGCGTAATTGCGGCGAATTTTCGATTATGAAGTTCGTTAAAATTCTGTTGTGTTTGATTTTATTACATCTTCACACAGAGTACGGTTGCAATAAACGCACGTTGAGTCCGCAAAGGTTTTCGCAGGTGAGAAAATAGTCCGCGACCAAAAAAGTTGGGAAACGCTGGGGTAATCAATCCCATACTCGACATAAATTGGTAACCGGACGTGGTTCGCCATATGATTAGGCTGTCTTAAGATCTTTTCTCTCACCGGGATAAATATGTAAATCTTATCTTATTTGACTACAGCTATGTTTTTTTATTATAATTGTGTATCGGTATCGTCTCGTATGGGTTCCATTACATTTGAACCCACGTACATTTGAACCCATGGCAATTGCACCTGTATGCTATTGCACCTATGGAATTTTTTTTTTTTTTCGGATAGTTGAACCCACACTAACCCTAACCCATGGGTTTTAGCACCCGCATATAGATTGAACCCGTGGATATACACATGGGTTCAAATGTACGGTCACCTCTCGTATGCACTCACTGTAGCAAGGTTTTCGTGAATATCAAATGTCTTCTATCTGTTTCAGTGTCTAGTTGGCTTCGGTGGAAGATTTTGTAACGAGACGTGGAATGAATGTCCTTTGGGATTTACAGGTACTATTTTTGGGAGCTCGAAAGGTGTGTGCCCAAGATGTCACACAACCTGAACATAGCATATGTACCCGGTTAGGGTGTAGGCTGTGTGCCATCTTGGTGCACATACTTCGGGAGCGCCGATTTTTGTGCCACGATTTCTACTCTGAGTATCAGCGTGGCCTACCTAATTTATTATTTTTCAGAGATGGGATTTGAACCTTAGATTTTTGACATGTTAGTGACGATGTTGCACGGTTTCTACTTGTACTATAAGGAGAGAAATGAAAAAAGAGAATGATATGAAAGCCCGACATGAGTAAAGTATTGAAAGAATAAAAAAATGTCAGGGGGCGCTCGTGACCGAAAAGATTAGGTCCTTTCAAAAATATCATGTCTCTAGTATCACAAAGTGCTTTGTTTGGAGTCACGTTGTGAAGACGCTCTAAGAATTTTATTCATAAAATAAAAATAAAAATATTGTTTTCCAGGAGCGAACTGCATGACAGACATTGATGAGTGCCTTGTAAATCCGACACCGTGCTTCGAAGGAGTGGAATGCTTCAACTACATGGGTTCATATTATTGTGGGCAATGTCCGGATGGATATCTGGGAAATGGCTTAACTTGTATAAAAGGTATGTGCGATGAATATATTTACGAAGTCTAATGAGGAGGATACTAGTCTTTGTACAGTCGCTATTTTTTTTAATTGTGAAAAATCGTTTCATTCTACAATTGCTAAATTGAGCGTAGCGTAGATTCAATAAAAAATATAATTACTATTATTGAGGCGTTTAGGCTTTCACTCTGAATAGGTCTCTGTCTGAGCAGCCGCTCATGTGTAAAAGGTTATCTAAATTTAGCTGAAGTATAAATAATTTTCAGTAACAATTGGTCTCATAATATATATGAAAATATACAAAGTTGTCTAAAGTTTTTTTCTGAGGAAACAACGCTTGAACAGACTTTTTAAATTTTTAGTTGATTATTCGTTATCCGATGACACGATCGCTGTTGAAAACGAGACATCAGTGCTGTGGGATGATGATGATTCACTCATTGTTCCTGATATTCGTGATTTGGCTCACGAAGTTCACAAATCCCGTGAATTGATTCGTGAATTAGCTAATGAAGATGATTCACCAATTCACGACTATGATGATATCATTGGCTCGCTTGGTGATTTTGGAAATTTAGAAACTGCTCAATCAAATGAGTTAACTACTGATAATGAAATGGTTCGTGAGATGGTGAACACTGATGAATCTGAATCACGAATTTATGAGCTACAATTGGTTCAAGGTACCCGCCCGTCTTCGGAAGTACAAGTTTTCACTACAATACCTAGTGTTGCCGAAGGAGAATCTACTAAACAGCGGGAAGACGAAATACATGCTACTAGAGCAGTTTTTATCCCAGATATAGTTAGTGTGCGTCCAATCGAGTCCAAAACAACAACCAAACCAGCGACCACAACCATTGAAAGCCATCAAGATGAAATTATTACGGAAAAAGTGTTTGAAAAAACGACGGAACCCCTCCTTTCACCTACGGAAGCTACTACTAATGCTATGAATGAAACAACGAGCGGTATCCAGCAGTTATACACAGAAAAAATCAATATAACTCAATTGTCTTCAACAGAATCACAGGGCGAACATAGAACCGTGTCGTCTAATGTCCCTCAAATGGAGTCGAATGTAAAATCCACAGTACCTTCATTTACTGTTCACAAAGAAGCAGAAACAACAAAAGCAAGATTGAGTAAACTTGGTACCGATTCAGATGAGCCATCGACTATCAGCAACAGTATTTTTAAAACGCTTCTTTTTTCCTCCAGTAGCACGTTTGCCACGAATACTGCTGCAGTGGAGAAACAAAGTGAGTCGCTAACTAATCAGAATACAGAGACTGCCACAACAACTTCAACATCGACTGAAGATGCATCCACGGTCACCCAAAAGGGTATCAATGAAGGCACACAAGAGAAGAAAATTTTAAGCCAAACTGATACCACTACAGCCTCTTCTACTACCAAATTATATGTTGATAGTTCGGATGAAAGCGGAGTCATAATGCCTTCGTTAAGAGATGTTATTCACGACACTATTCCTCGCAGCAAGTCGAACTTGTCTGCGATATTGGAACAATTTCATAAACACTTTGGTGATCGTCTTCTCGTAATTCAGAAAAAGACCATTGAATCAACGACAACCAGTCAGCCAACAACAACGACCAGTCAGCCGACAACAACGACGACCAGTCAGCCAACAACGACGACCAGTCAGCCAACAACGACGACTAGTCAGCCAACAACGACGACTAGTCGGACAACAACGACGACCAGTAAACCAATGATGACGACCAGTGAGACAACAACAACTAGTCAGCCAACAACAACGACCAGTCAGCCAATAACGACGACCAGTCAGTCAACTACAACGGCCAGTCAGCCAACTACAACGACCAGTCAGCCAACTACAACGACCAGTCAGCCTACAACAACGACCAGTCTGGTGGCAACCAAAGCCAGTCAGCGACCAACGAGGGCCAGTCATTCAACAACAACGACCAGTCAGGCAACAACAACGACCAGTCAGCCAACAATGACGACCAGTCAAGCAACAACAATGACCACCACGCCAACAACGACAATGACAAGTTTGCCAACTGCAACGACCAGTCAGCCTACAACAACGACCAGTCAGCCAACAACAACGACCAGTCAGCCAACAACAACGACTAGTCAGCCAACAACTAAGACCAGACAGACGACCAGTCAGCCAAATACAACAAACAGTCATCCAATGACGACGATCAGTCAGCCAACAACAATGACCAGCCAGTCAATAACGACGACCAGTCAGTCAACTACAACGACCAGTCAGATAACTACAACGACCAGTCGGGTGACAACAAAAGCCAGTCAGCCAACAACGAGGGCCAGTCAGTCTACAACAACGACCAGTCAAGCAACAATGTCGACCAGTCATCCTACAACAACGACCAGTCAAGCAACAACAACGACCAGTCAGCCAACAACAACGACTAGTCAGCCAACAACTAAGACCAGACAGACGACCAGTCAGCCAAATACAACAAACAGTCATCCAATGACGACGATCAGTCAGCCAACAACAATGACCAGCCAGTCAATAACGACGACCAGTCAGTCAACTACAACGACCAGTCAGATAACTACAACGACCAGTCGGGTGACAACAAAAGCCAGTCAGCCAACAACGAGGGCCAGTCAGTCTACAACAACGACCAGTCAAGCAACAATGTCGACCAGTCATCCTACAACAACGACCAGTCAAGCAACAACAACGACCAGTCAGCCAACAACAACGACTAGTCAGCCAACAACTAAGACCAGACAGACGACCAGTCAGCCAAATACAACAACCAGTCATCCAACGACGACGACCAGTCAGGCAACAACAACGACCACCCAACCAACAACGACCACCCAACCAACAACGACGACCAGTCAGCCAACAACAACGACCAGTCAGCCAACAACAACGACTAGTCAGCCAACAACTAAGACCAGACAGACGACCAGTCAGCCAAATACAACAACCAGTCATCCAACGACGACGACCAGTCAGGCAGCAACAACGACTACCCAACCAACAACGACGACCAGTCAGGCAACAACGACGACCACCCAGCCAACAACGACGACCAGTCAGCCAACAAATAAGACCAGACAGACGACCACTCAGCCAAATACAACAACCAGTCAGTCAAAAATAACGACCAGACAGACGACCACTCAGCCAAATACAACAACCAGTCAGTCAAAAATAACGACCAGACAGATGACCACTCAGCCAAATACAACAACCAGTCAGTCAAAAATAACGACCAGTCAGCCAAATACAACAACAAGTCAGCCGACAACGACTACCAGTCAGACAACATCAACGACTATTCAGTCAACTGCGACGACCAGTCAGGCACCAACAAATACAACCAGTCGGGCTTCAACAACGACCAGTCAGCCAATAACAACGACTAGTCAGACGACCAGACAGCCATCGAAGACTACCAGTCAGTCAACAACGACGACCAGTCGGTCAACAACGACGACCAGTCAGTCAACGACGATGACCAGTCAACCGACAACGGCGACCAGTCAACCGACAACGTCGACCAGTCAACCGACAACGACGACCATTCAGCCAAACACAACAACTAGTCAGCCAACGATGACGACCAGCCAGCCAACAACTAGGACCAGACAGACGACCAGTCAGCCAACGACAACGACCAGTCCGCCAGATACAACAACCATTCAGCCAACAACTACTAGTCAGGCGACCAGCCAGTCATCAACGTCGACCAGTCAGCCAACAATGACGACCAGTCAGCCAACAACAACGACCACTGCAAATTTAACGCCAAGACGCTCTTTCATATCAGTAAGTACATCAGACTCAATTTTTAATCATTTGTTATTTTTATAAAGGTGACTGTAAACGGGTTTTTCCAAGTTCCAAGCCAAACTTGACCAGTAAAATTTAATTCGAATTGTAATGGTGTAGTGTAGACGTAGATGTTATGTTCAAATTTATCATTATAAAAATGACCAGTAATGTCTCACATATTGTTTACAAGTCTGTTTAACTGGTGAACTATTCCCATACTTGACATGTACTGGTAACGAGTCGAAAGGCCGCAGTTTGAAATATCACTGAGCCGCCGTATCGGCTTCTCTCTCTCCGGGATAATTATGCAAATCCTATCCTATGTGCTCATTTGTTATAGGGAATGCGTAAAGTAGTAAAATGCCGAAAGACAAAGTCAGGAAGAAAAGTCTGCATTCCAGTTCTTAGAAGAATGAAATGGAGAAAAAATAAAGAACAAATAACCATAGGAGGAAGACCAATGAAATATTACGTTTCGAGAAAACTTTCAAGAACGAAATTTTCACAAAAAGGTTTTTTCATTTTCAATGTGGTTATTTTGGCGCTTCCGAAGTATGTGTACCGAGATGGCGCACAACCTGAACCTTAAGCTGGTACACATGCTATGTTCAGGTTGTGCGCCATCTTGGTACACAGGTTCACATACATCAGGTTCTCCGTTATTTTAAGCGATCTGCACAACAAAAATACTTTCTCCTTACCTATCAGGGGATGCCATGCAGAGCCTTGTTCAGAGCAACAGGGTAGAATGTATCCCTGACATGGGCAAACTACTGCCCGCAGGCCCGAATCCGACTCGTCGGGTAATTCAATATGGTCCGCATGATGCTGCCACAATCAAACCAATTTTTAGCTAAGAATAGCTCAAGGAATTTGTTGAGATTCCGTTTAAATTTAGTTTGGGTAGCAGGCTTATTGTTTTCCACTTTTGATTTTTGTAACACTGTAAATATTGTTCATTAAATGTAACTTTTTACGTCACAATTACCCCAGTCTAAATGCGCAAAATTGTTGCCCCCTGTTCAGAAAACCTTGCGCACGCCTGATTTATATACTATATTCAAATCAGACTGGTTTCTGATTGAGGGGTGGATCTTGCCAAAATGAACATGAAATTCTACCGTACTCACAGGTCTATACCACAATAGAACAAATTTTGGTTGGGACAGTTTATTTACTTCGAGTCATATATTCAATTTCCGTTCATTTTCAGAATGTCAGAAACGATGCGGATTACGAGGAAAATGTACAACTTACGGAATGTGCAAATGTGAACCTGAATACGCGGGTGAGTAATCTAATCATTGAAACGTCTTGAAACGTTTTTCTAACTTACTGTTGTTAATAGTTGAATGAGATTACCTAAGAATAACAATTGTTTTGAGAATCGCCTTATAAATGAGCGCACACGTTTCATATTACTCCTTGAAATCGCCTCTCTCTTTTTTATCTTAAAACCATTCGTTTTTATGGAGCGGGATTTTGCTCCGGCTCAATTATTGCGAAACAATTCACATGATCAAAATCAATGTAAAACAAAATAAATCATGTATATATTGCTAATAATCACATGCAAATTATGCAATTTAGTTACGGCTGATAGTGAACGACAATAATCGAATGTTATCGAATTGCCAATATCTATGACGTCAAAAACTTTTTTAATTATTGATGTCAAGGACTCAAAATTATTGATTAATTAGTTACAGTCCATGCTAGTTATAAATACCAGACGCGGCGAATTTGTAGCACTGCTTTACCGATAATCGTTATAGGTGCTTATTGAGAAGTTACCTGATCCAGTGGTTCCCAGCGGTTTGCGTTGAATTGTGGTAATTTAATTTGTTTCTCGGACCATTATTGTAAAAAATGACCAATCAGTAACAAATTAACAGTGACATCACAGTTGCAATTTAACCATCCACCAAGGCGGACATAGACTAGTATTCGTTATTGTTTGTTTTTTCCAAATTTAGTCATCAATCAAATCATGTTTTCAGAAGTGACCCAAAAATCTTTTCACCTAACCTACAGCTATTGTCATTGACGCCTTGATTTTAAAATTTCGTGCTATTATTGCAGGACAATTTTGTGAACGATCATCTTGTGACGTCATGTGTAAGAACAATGGTGTCTGTACTTCAAGAAACACCTGCAAATGTGTTAATGGATATTTTGGGCCAACATGTGGCGAATGTGAGTAATGAATTATAATTGGTTGGGTTATGTTGGATTCGTTTACCTGATGTCTGTTTCCTAATAGTAATAACTTGAATTACTTCAGCATTCATTGGCGCGTAATGCACATATTTCTTATGGTTTTGGTATCTTTTCAGTGCTGCCTATAGCTTTGTACAGAGATGAATATCTTTAACTTCAGAATGAGTGTAACAATAGGACAATTGTTTTTTTATTTGAATTCGGAATAAATAAACACTGGCACGAAGATGAGCATTTTCAGCGTAACTTCAAACGACTGCAGGCCGTGCAGGGTGACTCATTGCATATTTTTATATATATCCCGAGAGTGGAAAGGCAATAGGATATCTTAATCATATGACGATTTACTGCCTCTCACTCGTCTGGTGTGATTAACTAGTCAGTTTGGCAAACCAGTAATGAGTTTTTCCACATAGGCGCTGGTTAGTTACGGCTTCCTCCACCATCAATTCCATGCATCTGAGACAAATAACTGGTTAACTAATCCGATTCCCGACATGGCCTGGTAACCAGAAGAGAGGCCGTGGTTCACCGTATGATGATGTCGTCTTTCGGCTTCCCTCTCGCAGGGGATATGTTATGTATGAAAATCCTATCCTATTCCAGATATATGGACTTCGACAAGGAAGCAGAAACTGCTTTTTATGATCTTATAAACTCTCCATTTTCCTTAATTAACTTCAACTGAATTTTATTTCCACACAGTCAGATGTGAAGACCCATGCCAAAATGGAGGCACATGTATACGACCCAACACCTGCAACTGTGCAAAAGGATTTGAAGGCAATCTGTGTGAAAATCCGGTTTGCGATCCTGGCTGTGTGAACGGAGGAAAATGTGAATCTGGCAACGTGTGTTTGTGTCCCCAAGGTTACGAGGGAGACAGATGCCAGAAAGGTGAGCGTAGTGTGTTCGTCGGAATTGTATCACGAATCATGATGTGTCGCCAACTAACATAAGTATATAAGTATATAAGACTCGATGAAGAATCTGGCAATGTATGTTTGTGACCTTGTGAATACGAGGGAGACAGATGCCAGGTTGATTTACGCAGTTCAAATCTTATAAAATCGTGAAAAGTATCATTTGGAATATTTTTTTACTGATTTTTTATCGCAAATTAAAGTACAAAGTTCAAATTCTTCACTTATAAAAAAAAAAAAAAAAACGGGGCCTGAAGCGGGTGACGTTGCCAAACTATGCTCTGTGACGGAATTTTAAAATTGGTGCGGTAGATCTCGTCCATTGGGAAGTCGGTGAGCCAGTACAAAAGTTCTCGAAAGAACTGGAATATTGTTATTCACTTTAAAATATCAGGCACAATGGGAGATTTTTTTCTTGAGATTTTGCTTATCGCATTCAATCCCTTACAACTTGAATATCTTGATAATATTTTTATAAAATCAAGCGTAAATAGTCGCGAGAAATTAAACATTGCGCTGATTTATCAATTGTATTTCTCTTTCAGCCGTCTGCAATCCTGAGTGTCAAAATGGCGGCCATTGCATCAGGAAGAATGTGTGCACCTGCGCGAGATTGTTCCTGGGTGACAGATGCCAGATAAGTAAGCGGCTTCCATAATTTCAAGCAGAGTAGCCATAGTTATGTTACAAATGTAATAAAATGTAAAATAACCAAAAGTGCGCAGTAAAAAGTAAGAAGTCCAACAAAACATATAATGTAGTTTAAAACGAGTTTGATAAAATTCCTAAATATAGATACAAGGGAGGCGACATACGTTTATCCAACTCCAACTATTGACGCATTGGCTAAAACTTATTTAAACACGGAATCTTAGGAATTATTCACACACGGCGAATTTAAAAGCTGACATTATGAGCCCAAACTGACTTGAACCTCAAAATTAATTCCATCCAAATGCTCACCTACTCAGCTAGGCGCGATCTACAAGCTTTGATGAAAGCTGCCTAACAAGCCATTTATCTGGAGTTTTATACTTTAATATATTTAATATGTATAAATATGTTGATTTTATTTACTGTCAGGCAGTAGACTTAAAATACCAGTACGAGCCCTCTTTTCACTAAGATGACTAGTTTTCTCTCTCTCTCAACCAGGTGTCTGTTCCCCAGGATGTGGTCACGGCGGTCGTTGTATGAAAAATAATAAATGTCTTTGTAAGACCGGGTGGACTGGGAACCATTGCAATACACGTAAGTATTTCGTAAATTTAAATGGTTCTATACGATTTCCTAAACAATCTAAAGTTTAGAGAAACACATAAAAAAGGAACTAAAACTCGTTTTCTCCTTTTTGATGTTTTCACTCAGCTTAAGGAAGGTTCCTTGCTCTGTTAACTTTTTTTGGTTGAACAATAAAATTTTATTATTGTAATACCTTTATTCTTCGTTTAGAATCTTGTATAATAAATATATTGCAATACAACAAAAATCAGTTTTTGCATCAAAATGTCATTTTGTAAATGTTCAAATAGAATTTGTCGCAGATACAAATTTTGTATTTGTAATGTATGTATGTATGGATTCGCACTTCATTCCAAATGAGTCATTTAATTGGCTGAACATTTTCCCACGCCTCCAGTCCGAGCGAAATTCTGTAAGTATATCCATTGTTGCCATGGCCTCTTTACCAGTTCATGTCGGATATTGGCTCAGTTAGCCGGTTATTTATTTCGTGCCCATGGACTTGATAGTGGAGGATGACGTAAACGACAGCAGTTACGTGAACCATCCTATAACAACAACCAGTCCAGCAATTCATCTTGAGATCTCTTACTGCGTCGCCAACTTGGTCTAGTTTAATGCTAAATTGGTAATAATATTCTGAAATATCACGTCCTTCTCAAACTCTATTTTCTGTTACAGCAATATGTATTGACAAATGTGCAAACGGTGGTGTCTGTGTTTCTCCTAACAAATGTAAATGCAAGGCAGGATGGTCTGGATCTTCATGCAGGACAGGTAAAACACTTTTATCATCTTCATCATTTTGCTGACTTCTAAGAATCATCAAACGATATGATATAAATTTGGCGCTAAAATCATTCGGAAAACCTGTATATCATTTGATTCCTACTGTCTATATAATATATTTCATTTTCAAAACTTATTGGACACGTAGTGGACATAACGATCGTTTCAATATTATGTTGTTGTTGTTGTTGTTCTTGTTCTTTGACACGTTTTTAAAAAGTCGCTTTTCTCTTCGAATACTGGACCAATTATGTGACTCTACGTGTCCATATATTTGAGCATAGCTCTCTTGTTTTACTACAGGTCATTGCAGAAGATGTCGGTTCGGTTCGCGCTGCGTACGACCAAATACTTGTCGATGTCCGTACGGTCCACGAGGAAAGAGCTGTAGGCTGGTAAGACGTCTTTTCATATAATTACGCTCACCCGAGCATGGCCTAAAGAATTTATATTGGGTTTTTCATTGTAACATTTCATCTCACTGCACGATAAAATTTGCTTTCGTTTGAGATGTCCCTCAATTCGCTACCTATAACTTTTAAACAGTCATAAACGTTCGAATTAACCAATATTTTGAATTTTTTATTGTCCTACTGATGCGGCGCCGCGAACCTTTAGGGTGAAAGAGTAACTTCGCCCAGAGACGTCATACGGTTCGAAGAGTTAATTACGCTCACCTGAGCATGGCGTCGGGACGCTACACTGAGTTTTTCAATCACTTCTCTTCCGATTGACTCGCGCTCAAGTTAATTTGTATTTTAAAAATTTTAATCAATCAGCACGTCATGTTAAAAAATGTAATCTTGTCGTTTGTTTGACGTCAATTGCTTCTCAACTCGGCAAACACACATCGTGTCTGTGACACGTTGACTTGATAGTCCCCCTTGTCAATGTCTGTTTGACTCAATTAATTTTTTGAAATTACATTGAAGAATAAAAGGCGACTGGCTATATCGGACATTTGTCACGCTATGGTCGTTTGGCTTTACTGTATGCATAGCATTCGTTAAATTAAATTTCAATGTCACACTTTGTCAAGTCTCGCGTGCCCCATCTTAAAAATCAATAGCAAACAATAAGGTACAAATAACAGATAGTAAGGTGGAAGTAGGTTTTATTCAAAAACTACGTTGAAGTTACATGGATGGAACGTAAATATTCAAATAAAGAAATGTAAATATCCAAAACAGGGCGCGCAAGATCTTTATTTGTAATTAGCTTCACGAAAAAAATTGTATACGTCCCACTTGTGGGATGCGCCTTGCCGTTGAAGAACCACTGTTATAAAACATTTTCTCCGTGGTAAATAAATGTTAATAACTTTGAAATTTATTTCCAACGCGTCGTGGGGGCTCCTGAAGTATGCGAACCAAGATGGCGGACATCAGAATGTAATATGTGTACTAGGTTAGGGTTAGGCCATAATTTTAGGTATAAATACTACGGGAGGCACTTGGCTAGTCTTCGAACTCACAGTAGGTATAAAATAAGGAAAATTGGAATAAAATTATGGCCCAACCCTAACCTGTTACCCATGCTACGTTTCGATGTCCGCCATCTTGGTTCGCATACTTCAGGAGCACCGCGTCGTGAGTATGACAAGTTTGGTAATCTCCGATTTACAGCGTTTTATAAATGAACAAAATTGGGACCTCCTGAAGTATGCGCACCAAGATGGCGCACAACCTGAACATAGTATGTGTGTACCGGTTAGGATTCAGGTTGTGCGATATCTTGGTGCGCATACTTCTGGAGCACCCAAAATTGAGTCAGCTTTACATTTTTTGAAAACCTTTCTAATTGTGCGCCATCATGATTGTACCTAGCTTCAGCAGCTCTTGGCTATTTATTAGTTGCCGGTAACGTTTCTCAGATCAGTAATTAGTTTTCTTGACTTGTGAGTGCGCGTGACTTTTTTTTGAGAAAATGTTTCCTAAAAATATTGCCTTTTTTCAGAGGTTACTTCTCAGCAGAAGATCTTCAATACGGCGATTTTGAAACTGGATCTACCTTTCTAATCAGAATCTCCATTGACCGAACAAAGGGACGTCGATTCAGAAGTAGAGAACGAGCACAAACTCTCGTTCGTCATAAACTTCATCCGCTATAGTCAAGGTTCTAAAATGTACCTATGTCATCATAGTGTTTTGAACTATGCTTGTGTGTCGTCAGAATGCTAAATCTACTTTTTACTTATGACGTAATACGCCGTTTGAATACTATTTATTGAGCTATTTATTGTATTAACTTCGCTTTTTTAAAAACTGAACAATGATAAAAATGATTGCAGTGCTTCTGGCATTGTAAAAAAGTATTTGTTCTCGCGCTATTTGAGTAGATCTCTGCCGTTTTACCTGAAAATGAGGTCCTTTCGAATAAAACCAGGTTATGTACATGTGATTACTGCCAGAAGCAATGCATTAAACCAGGGATGTGCAACCTGCGGCACACAAGGAAAATTTGTGCGGCCTGCAGAGAAGTGCCAATTTTGAATCATGTGCGGCTTGCGAGTTTTTAATTAATTTAGTTTTATCTGATAATTCCAATCCCCTCGCGTTGCAATCCTATACATTACCAATCAAATTTATTATCTATGCCTATGACGTTATAATGCCCTAACAGCGAAAAACACATGTCATAAAATTAATAACCAAAACTAAAAGGCCTATGTTTAATGAAGGTGCGGCCGCAGGTTCACTCATTTTTTTGTATATCTGGCCCACTGGTATTAAAGGTCGCACACCCTTAATTCAAAATACGCACAGAAACTGCTTAAAATTGAATTCTAAAAGATGTAGGCATACTCTGCCTGAATCTATTTCCACGTTGAGTCGACGAATTGAAATGAAAACTGCGGCACCTGAGTTGTTTATGATTTCAAAACTTTGCGGAATTTATCATGCAGATCTGGCTGGCCTCCTGGCAGTAGACTTTCAAATCCTGTGCCAACTGGTATCACTAACTTTCCTGATGAATCCTAAACTCTCGGATCGTGTTAGTTTACAACTTTACTATCAGTGTTCTTTCTATTTTTGATTGACGGATTGAAATCTTGCATTGAGCAAAAAGATTTTCCATTTATTAGTTCTAAGGCAGCATAGTGGATTAGGAAAATAAGTATGACTCTTTGTATCTTGTATTTTACCCCATTCTTACTAGTTCTATGTCTTTAACCAATAACACAATGGCGCATGCTGCTGGTCTTCTTGGTATTTATGAAATTTCTGATGAGTTCCATTTCAAATAAATTTGATCAAATACATGTTTATGGGTGTTTTAGATGGAACAATCTATAGTCATGTATGAATATTTTAGCAAAAATAATTTTCGGTCCTCCCGAAGTATGTGAACCAAGATGGCGGACACCGGAATGCAGGTAGGAAGGAAGGATTTACATATTTATCCCGGGGGAGAGCGAAGCCGGTAAGACGGCTTAATCCTATGGCGAACCACGGCCTCTCGTCCGGTTACCGGTCGAGTATGGGATTAGTTAGCCAGTTATTTGTTTTCGGAAGCATGGACTTGAAGGTGGAGGAAGCCGTAACCGACCAGCGGTTACGTGAACCACCCTACAGCGTCGAGGAGTCCAGCAATCCTCTCGCACATGATCATCCCCGCATAGGATTCGAGCCTGCGAACCCACGAAGGGTAATCAGAGATGCGGTGGCGAGCGTATTCCTAACGCTCAGCACGATGCGGCACACCGCCAAGCCAGGCCATATTTTTAGGTACAAATACTACGGGAGTCACTTGGCTAGTCCTCGTATTAGAACTAAAATGAGCAAAATTGGAATACAATTATGGCCTAAACCTAACCTGGTACACATACTATGTTCCGATGTCCGCCATCTTGGTTCACATAGTTCAGGAATACCGAATTTTTAGCGCAGAAAAAGTGTAGTAATTTCAAGTTCTAGACATGAATGCTAAATGCCCAGTTATTGTCATGCCGAAGCCATATAGTTTTCAACCAAATAGACCCAATTTAATATAGTTGATAGTACTGTTAGCAACATCACCTCACGAAAATACATTGATCTCCCACTTGACAAAAAAAATATCAACAATAAAACATAGATTTTATTTATTCGGATCAAAAAATTATAACGAAATATTCTTAATATTTAAGATTCGGTTTTGAACCAAGTTCACGACACAAAATCAAAATGCAGGGCTTAGACATTACTCGAGATAGAGATGGCCAGTCCACTTTGTGTTGTGCTAACTTGACTTGATTCACAAGTACCAAACGCTGTAATTAATCTTTTATTCTTTCATAGAATAACATATAGGCAGGACAATTCATCACCTCCTCTTGAGTGGCTTTTCTTACCAGGGTGTCCGAAGCGCACACCCATCTGAAATAGATTATAATTGTTAAAAGTGATATGGCAGGTTACTTGAGAAGTCTAATTTTAATTACCAAGTGAACCACACCTGCTAGTCCAGGGGTGGGCAACATACGGCCCGCGACAAGATTTTGACTGGCCCGCTGACTGTACATCAGTACATTATGATATCACATTATTACACTTTTAGTACATCATGATAAATTCATTATGTGTTTTTGATCTCTATTTTTGTAAAGTTTAAACTTTACTTTACTTACTTTAAACGCGATTTATAAGTAACTTTCTTTCTTGCATTAGCAAATGAATATGTGATTACTTATCGATCTTAAGATCGGTAAGTATATTGATAGGTATTTGTCTGTATGTATGTCTGTCTGTTAGATGCACGCGATATCTCACGAAAGCGAGATTGAATCTGCTCCAGATTTTGCATGTGCATTCATCTTATCTCGGACCAGAAGCCTATTGATTTTGGGCGAATTATGTCGTATAATTAGCGAGTTATCAATCAATTATTGATATAGTGATCTAGATTTTTGTAAAGCGAGAGAATTTTGAAACCCGCCGAGTGTGTGTGTGCGATGCGCAGTGCGCAAGTTACAAGAGCGGATGAATCGAAACTGCAGTTTCTGTTTTGGGGGATCCCCTAACTATCGATCGATAAGTCTTCGGTTTCCAACCGATATTCTCGTTAAGATATTGAATACTATTCATGTTATAACCCGGCCCACCGAGGACTTCATTTTCCCACATCGGGTCCGCTGACTAGAGATGTTGCCCACCCCTGTGCTAGTTCAATGGTTTATTTAGACAGGGACAACATTTTTTGTCTGTGTCAAAAACACGTAATTGTTACCCAACTTTTTAAACAGACTGTCAAATTTTATGCATGATGGAAAAAATCAGAGCATTTGACGAGAGCTACACTAAATGCCCTGGTGGGCTGGAATGTTGCGCGCAGGCCGCCTGTTGAATACCCCTGGTTTAAGATCATACGTACGTTGGCATCGCACGTTCATCATATTATTAAGTTGTCTTATACACATTTCCTCTTCCGGGAAATTAAAATACGAAAATCCCCATCTTCTAACCTTATTTGAAATATACTTACTCATTATCTTTATCTGGTGATCTTCGATATGTAAAAAAATGGCCGCAGAAGCTTGAGTCCCCAATATGAACAATCGCAGATGTCAAACGATATAGAGCCTTGTGAGACCTAGGAAAAAAAATGTCACTATTTAGCTGACTGGACTCATACTGGCCTCTCCAAATGTGGTAACTTCATGCGTGAATGGAGGGACAAAAGTTGGGTAGCAGTTATTAATAGTATATACAGGGATATCTAGGTAGTTAAAGGACTTGACATTAGGACAATTCAGCAGTTGACCAAAAAATGTCACAAATGCTGCGATACTCGTGGCTTCTGGCATTTCAGTGATCACCCATAACTTCCCTCCAAGATCAATCCCCTTGATTTCTGGGCGAGCATGTGTAATCCAGCTTTGAGCAACTTTAATCACAATAAATAAAATTAACAATAGGTCTAATTACCTAATAGTAGTAAAGGAATAAACTGATTAATGTGATAGTAGTTTCTGACATATTGTTAAACATCAATGGAAGCATGTACCAAGCCTTTTTCATAGCAAAAATCATGAATAAGCAAGCATTATATAAAATCAGTCGGACCTCCTGAAGTATGCGCACCAAGATGGCGCACAACCTGAACTCAGGTTGTGTACCAGGTTAGGGTTGTGCGACATCTTGGTGCGCATACTTCAGGAGTACCAACAAGTCTAATTACCCAAATGTAGTAGAAGCAGCGGATCTGTGTGAACCACCTTGAAGACCCATTGGTAGAGATTCCAATCTCTGTTGCCTCTTTCTAAGCAATGCATCCAGCATTTCAGACGGTTTCAACTGTCCGGCTTGCTTTTCGACCGATTCCGGATTTTGACGCTTCTTTAGGGGCGTAATACGAGATAATTCTGTAAACTGTCCCATGTCAAGAATTTCAGGAAATTTCACGAAGTTCATTTTCTTGGTTGGCATTCCACCGATCCACACGAGGCGCTGAAGATGCATGCATAAACAGTCTGGTAGTTTACCAATACACATGCGACGAATAAAATTACGTTTCGTTGGAATATATTCATTTTCTCCATCAAATTTATACCCTCGGGAGCGTCTTTGATAATACCTCTCAAATTTCTTTCTTTGACTTTCCAAAATTAACTTTTGGAAAAGGATTTTGAATGATTTTGCTATATTTCTGATAGAATCATTGTGAACCCCTTTTCTAAAATTTCCAACGTTTTTGATGACAATACTAGACGGATCAGGGACGCAAAATAGGTTATCAGCCATCAGACTTCCATTTTGATTCTGAACAGTACTGTTTTCTTTTGCAGTGCTCATGATATTTTTATCGTTACCAACACCACCATTTTGAGTAGTTGGAGAAATATCTATGGTAGATTGCTTATTACAGTCATAGATTGGTGGCATGGTCTCTGGTACAGTTTGTATGGTCTTATCTGGTAGGCCAGTCTTATTGGTATGTGTTGGTGACAGTGACAGACTGGTGTTGGGATTGTCAGATTCCACATTCTCTTGGTTTTGGGGTTTTATGTTATTGTCTGCACTGGTAATGGTCTCATCTGGTAGGCCATTACCAGTTAAACTGGTAGGGCTTGGTGCCTGATTGGTAGTAAAATAACCAGTCTTAGTTATAAATTGTTCATTGTCTGTTATAGATGAATTTTCACTGTCATTATTTAGTTTCGATACATTCTCATTTCTCAGAGATTGGATATTTTGTGAATTTTCACACGTTTCTATGGACGATATACCATCGTTTCTTGGTGGCTCAACTTTATTATCTGGATTAGTACCAGTCAACATGGTTTCACCATTGGTATATGACGGAGTCTGAATTTGAGTGTTTAAAGAACTTTTAGTACTTCCTTTCTCAATCTCAGTTAGTGATATTTTATTCTGTTCGTGTAGTTCAGAGTCACTGCCCTGATTTGTACTGTTTAATATGCTTCTACCTTGGGGGAATAACTCAGCATGGATTGGGGTATTTGACACAATTTTAGTACTTCCTTTTGAAGTTACAGGATCTTTGTCATTCCAAAGAGTTCCAGATTCCATTTTGCTTTGAATACTGCCCTTTGTGTTTATTTCTACAGCACCTTCATTGGAAGATTTCAAGATAGTCTCAGCTGGTGTAATTTCCAAATTTGAACTATTTTGTGTATCATCTGTCACTAAAATATCAGTGCTTTTTGACATGCTGTCTTTTTTGTCGAGCTTCTTTGGATGAGCATTTATGATTTTATCTTTTATTTCTTTTGTGTTGTTGTTATATGAACCAGCAGTCGGTGGAATGCCTGCAAAGTTAGATATGTTGGGATAAGAAGTAGGTAGATGTAGAAATAATCAAGTAACCTTGTGATAGGGCTGCCCAAATATGAATATTCGGTGCTCCAGAAGTATGTGCACCAAGATGTCGTACAACCTGAATCCTAACCGGTACACACACATATCATTTTCAGGTTGTGCGCCATCTTGGTGCGCATACTTCTGGAGGTCCGAATATTCTTTAGGGAGTCATATATTGCAGAGGCAAAGCCA